ATATATATATATATATATATATATATATATATATATACACACACACACACACACATATATAAGGCATTTTAAACCCTTCCCACACTCTTGCAATATTCTAAACAATGTTTCTAAATGCTCTAAAAGAGCACAGAATGTCATGATTTCAGCTCCCTGCCTCCGGTTGCTCAGGAAAAAAACTAATGTTTGAATAACAGACCAATAAATTGGGCTAAATTGTGTATGTCTTTTACCTAAGCAGATTTTATTTGTGGAATGGGGAAAAAAAAAACTTGTAACATAACTCTAAACATAAAATCTCCTCCAGACGAAATCTCCTCGTTAACCATTCATCTCAGACAGACAGCCACATAAAGCTCACAGCTCTAACGGACACATGCTCCAGCAAGGCCCCGTCAGGACAGCCTTTTAACTGGCAGCCTGTTCCATGACCTCAACGCCCATAAATCACATGACGGGGGTGCAGGCGATGGGTGTTGAGAGCTGCTCAGGGCGCGCTTTGAGCCAAGTCCCTATGTTGTATAATCAATAGATATAAAAATAAATGGCCTGACCGTTATTCTCTCCCTGCTACCTTTCTCTAATAAAATCCCAGTAATGCATATTTCATTTACTTTTATACTTATTGATTACCTGTACTCCAGTTAGTAAATCAGGCGCCTATCGATCCCTCAATCGTACCTCTGTCGGACAGCACATAACCAGCCATTTGCGCCCCTGATAAAGAGCTCAGACATTAAACTCCCCACAGTAAATCTTTGCAAACTAACTTTTTAATTCCAAAATCGATCCACATTTAAACGTAGCGTTATTTCACAGGGCACGCCTGCGGCATTAAAAGTAATGCTGTGATGCATTTGGTTTTAATGCATGGAGGTCCATCCCCCTGTCTCTTTTTCTCGCTGCATCAAGGCCAAGACGTGCAGTGGTCTCACTGCAGCCTGGAGGGAAAAAGGCCCTTTTGCTGCTGCAGAACGCTGGGAGACTGTAGAGCCATCAGGAGCCCACTGAGGCACTCAGCACAATGCAAATCAAACATGAGAATACTATCAGCTGGCTCATTAACCAAGGAAAAACACAACCATTCATCTCAGAGCGGAAACCAAAAGCTTTTTATCAGCGTCCAACCTGTCCGCCATATAAAACCATAAGCAGTGGTTAAAAAAAAAGAAAAAAAAAGCACAGAACTTATTATTTAACATCTGTTACTTCATCAGTTTTACAAAGCTTGACAGATGTTTTGGCTTAAATTTACAGAAACTGTGATGATAAAAAACAAAGTTTGACTTTAAGCAGTGAAGGTGGCCAACAACTAAATACTACCAAAGGCACAAGGACACTGAGGAAGTGTCCAAGATGGATTTTTCAGGTCATATGAGACACTTTTAAATGCAATGAAGTCCCTCTGGGTGCTGAATAAAACAGCACTGACACAGGGTCAATTGTAATTTTGGCTCTCGCAACCAAAAGCAAATATATCAATTAGGAATAATAAATCAAAAGAGGAGTGAGAGGCCACAGATACAAAATGACCATCTATTTTCATTAGGCCACACGGTGCTTCAGGTGTGAGCAGGATCTCAAGATTAATATAGGTATTCAAATGAATCAGAAAGGATTAGGGTCTCCTGGGAACATAATCAATAACTCCAAATCAATAATCAATAGGCCACTCACACCAATATACTAACTGCTGACACTGTGATCTCACAATTAAAATGAAAACTGAGGAAGGGAGTGGTGTAAGACTATGATTTATCTCATGGTGCAAGTGTTATTTAAAAACAAACAGGTCAATAGATAAAAGCTGCTGCTGCACGGCTCAGGTTGGAGGCGGCTATGCATTCTAAGGTGGTCCCCCCCCCCACTCCCCCCGGGTGACAAATCCCACAAAGAATGGAGCTTCAGAAACAAGAATGAGTCAAAACCAAAAGATGACAGTGAAACATGTGAATTATTTTATTGTTGTCAATATATCATTATTATTGTAATGAAGGCCTAGCACTCCTTAAAGGAATGCATATCACCTTTGCAGCCTTTCATGCCAAAGCTTTAGACTAACATCATTTTTTTAAGACGTGTTTAGCCAATTTGGTGAAATTTTGAAAATAGCACCAACCCCTTGGATTACATCTTGTGAATTACGCTCAGCTACTACCACACCCAATTTTAGCTCGACATCTATAAAATTCACTGACTTATCCTTTTGATTTAGACTAAGGTAGAGCTGTCATTTCTAACCCGGGCCCGAAGCCCAGCCCCACCCGACCCGAATTCGGGGCGAGCCGTGATAATGTGCTGATTGTGTCAGCGGATCAGCTGCAATCCTATTATATTGCAACATGGCTTGCCAAACATTCACCAGCCACACGCGGCCATTTCACCGCAAGCTGACTGGCCTTGAAAGAAGTCAAATAAAGTTCAGTTAAGCTTCAGATGGGACTGTACTGCCAGGAAGCGATCCATCGCCCAAATGGACGTTCATGCAGCCGCTGCACTCAGCGGACGCGCGCAGCCGATGACCCAAACCGGTGAGATTCCAAAGCAAACATGTCAGAGCAGGGTCCATGTCTGAATAATGCAGAATGCAGGCAGAAGCAGGGATTTAATGCGCTTTGACGGCCATGAAAGGACAAATAGCCCCCTCAGCTCGCGTGTCTGTCGACCGTTAATAACTATATAAGCAGTCAAAGCTTAATTAAAACTGTCGGGGGGGGGGGGGGGGGGGGTGTCAGGTTCAGACTTGAAATTACTGTTAATTCGTCGGGTCGGGTGGGGTTCGGAAATGATGGCTATGGGCTGAGGCCGGGTCGGATCAGATATTTTGGCCTCGAATGCAACTCTAGGCTAAGTTCAGCTAGCTGTGGTGGCCATCTTGAATCAGACTGACTGTCATTCAGTTGTCGATGTACATCCAAACAACACTTTCAGACCAACAATTTTCAGTCAGGTCATCTGGACAGTTTCTTTTTGTTGCTGAAACATTTCACCTTCTATCCAGAAGGCTTCATCAGTCAAGGAAACACTCAACACAAAACTGATTCTTCCCCCAAACTGCTTACTCCAAAGTGGAACAAACCAGTTTTGTTTGTGATAAGATGGTGTCACACTTTCAGACAGTTACATGAACATCCGTTTGATGATTTATGAGATATGAACCATGAGTCAAGACATTATTAACCTTTTGCCTTAGCGGCAGGCGATAATGAGCGGGCATGAGCTTTCATATTTTACAATAAACTTGCGCAACATTTCTGCTTGTTTAGGTGAACTCGGGTGACCCAAGAAGGTTGCAGTAGTGCAGAACCGAGTCATAAACACCAGGCAGACATATCACTGGAGCAGCTCGGGAAGATAGATTCAGCTCGTGCAGTCCGACTGAAAACATCAGAAGCCCGTCTCCCCCCCCCCCCCCCCCCCCCACCCCACTCATTCATTTGCGAGTATGATTTATACTTTTTGAAGTGAAGGGTCTTGAATCCCACTTTAAAGGAATTAAGAGATCTCCCCTGAGTCTGTCATTCAAATGAGAGCATGGCAGGGATATGAGGGCTTTTTAATAGAAGAAATTAGTATTCACAATGCCTTAAACGAGAATGTGAAGGAACCTTTCAGGTGGAGAAGAAAGGGCCAGTTTAGAAAAGAAAGCCCTAAGAAGTCGGGGGGCTTTTCATAGCAGTCGTGTTTTTGCCCCTCATCAAGAAGAGCTGGAGCGCTCTGTGAGACGACCCAAGAGAGAGGGAGGGAAAGGCGCACGCATGTGTGTGTATGTGAGAAACAAAAATGAAGAATGCATCATAAATAGGCAGCGAGGACACAACACAATGAGTCCCACAGTCTGGAAGCCTAGAGGGCCACTCAGCTTCTCAACAGTCCCCCCACCCGCACACCCCATGCAGATCCAACTGTTCGAGGGATGACTGGAAGCAACGTGATGCTTTGACAAAACATAGTTCGGCTTTTTCAAATGTTCCTGTGCCGTTCCAGATATCTCAGAATTTAAATCAGCATTAAGTCAACACCGTATTTTTTTGTATATCGGGGGACGCTGACCTTGAAAACTAGTAAGTTGAGCTAAATTTGAGTTACTTACTCGTACTTTAAATCAAGAGTAGCATAAATGGAGTGTTTTATTTAGTATGTGCATGAGCAATATTTTCGCATCTTAATGCAGTTTAAACAAGGCATGGATTTGGTCAGACAAATCATAAAATCCTACACTATCTGACGACTGAATGACTTTTAGATCTGTCAGTTCAACCTAATTGCTGATTCAGTTTTTACATTTTTGCTTTATTTTTATTTTTCACAATCTGTTTCTGCATACATTGTGCTATTCTTTAGCCATTCCTACATCAATCTGTTCGGCTCATTTTGGAGATGGGTGCTGTGATTTGCTTCTTGTAATTCTTATGCTTTTCAAAATAGTGTAAAATATTATCCGCAAAGAAAAATAGAGATTTATTCATTTTCTTCAAAAACACTCTTCTCCTTGAAATCTGCTTCAGCACTTTTGCTCTATTTTTACCTTATGCTACGTTTAGCTTTTAGCTAGCATTCTGCTACTTTTAACTTTCAGCTCCAGTTCTGCTACTTTAGCCATCATTCTGTTATGTTTAAGCAGTCATTTGCTAATTTTAGCTTTAAACTATCATTCTGCTATGTTTAGCTAGCTTTTAGCTTCTTTTTGTTTCTAGCTAGCCTTTTAGCTGGCTTTTTGATACTTTTAGCTTTTACTTAGCTTTGCTACTATTAAATTTTAGCTAATATTTTTGCTAATTTTGGCTAGCATTTTCACATACTTAGCTATATTTTTAATCATTATCTTTTAGCTAACCTTTGGTTGCATTGAGCTTTTAGAGTCTTTAGCTTTTTAACAACTCAGTTTCAGCTTCTTCAGCAAAGTTTCAGCAAAGTCATTCAGCACTGCATCCACACTGTTGTATTCCACAGAAAATGCAATTTCTTAAGAGGTAAATGAAATACAAAATGTATTTGAAAAAATATATAACTTTTTTAATATAATATAGTACATGGACAAAAAAGTAAAACTTTCAAGATAATAACAGAAACAAGATAAGTAATATATTAATTGAAGACCTCCCTCTTGTGTGAAATAATTTTTTTTGGACATGCACTCATTCACACAAACAAGACTGATATTTAGCTAACAAACAACAATAACTATCGGTACCTGTTCCTGAAGATTGAGGAGGAACACCTGAGATGGGAGCTCTCTGACATTGCATCAGCAGGACAAACTGGGCACAGAGGGTTTAACTGGAAATTTAAAGTGCCAATAACATTCATATTTTAATACCGTTATCATCAAAGTGAAGATTGAGAGGAATCAAATTAGCTCTGTCATAGTTCACCTGGTTTCTGTCTTGTTTTCCAACAGGTGGCAGCCAAAAGCTAAAAGGAGACAATCAAAATATGATGTAAACAAACTTTTACCTAATTTTGATTTAAATATGAGCGTCTCTTACTTTCTCTGGCGCTGATCTTGGGAGAAGTGCCTCAGTCTTTCTACAAGCAGTGGCATGTTGGTGCTCTGTTCGGCACAGATACACAGTTAGAAACAACACACAGATGGAGTAACATTTTAAATAACTTCAGCAGCGACAAAGACAACTCAAGTTTTGTTAAACCTTCTTGGGAAGTCGTCTCCTGTCCCTCCTCAAGCAGCAGGCGGCTGAGCAAAGCAGACGATCAGGATGGGCGTGATACCCTGCAACAGGTGAAAAATCATAAACTTCATCTCGTGCTACCAGATGAGCAGAAAATATTAAACTTTATTAAAGGAAAAAAAAAAAAGATAATGTTGATGAATTTTAGTGCTGCAGTCTACTGACTTGCAATGACAAAAAAAAACAGAATCAATTGGTCAAGTTTTAAAAACAAGTCTAGCTCTAAACACACAAAAAAACACAATCAAGAGTAAAATATTATAAAAACAGAAAATGTACTCATTTTATTTTTATACAATAATAATGAAAAGCTACTGATAATGCTATTTTTGTGGCTAAAGTTATGTTTCATCTTAAAATTAACAAAGAGAAAGATTGATCATATGTAATGCCATCTAGTGGTATAAATAGCTAATTGCAACAAACTGAACAAAGAACCTCAAACAAAAGCTGTTCTTTCGGCTGCTTCCTTCTGTAGAGGTCGCCACAGCGAGAAAACATGAAAGATTTGGCAATTGTTTTATAACGGATGCTCTTCCTGACCCAACATGGGCTTGAACTTGCAGCTTCAGGATTAAGATTGCTGCACTGACCAAACCTCAAACAAAAGTGTAGCAAAAAAAAAGAAGCTAATTTAAGTTTGACCCTCTCCTTGTTTCTGAAATGACAATAAGTAACATGACAGAGAGGCGAGGTAAACAATCTGCGGTGTCTTTGGTTCTAAACAGCTTACTTTAAGTTACTGAAAAGACCATTTTGCACAACAAAAATATAATTTTGATTATTGTATTTTGTTTTGACCAGGCTATCACCTAAAGTTTTACATTCTGAATGTTTAAAACTGTAGAAGTTCTGTTAGAAACATTGTTTCAGTGCCTGCATGTGACAACAAAACAAGGCAAACTGATTGGAGCCATATAAACCATGATGGCAATAACAAAAACGCAATCTTTAACTAAGAATTTGCCCACCATCTTCATCAATATCTACAATTCAAAAAAACTATTTCCTCTGAGTTTACATTTAAAGATATATCTTCCACGTTAGTTAACCTTGTACAAGGAAAATATACAAAATAAAAATTAGAGGTGGGAACTTTTAAGCTCGTGCCTCAAACTGACTCAGCTCTACCGTTTACATAAAGAATAAGAGGATCTCCACACCTCTGACAGAACAGCGTGCGGGCTGCAGGAAGTTGGGCCGAGTGTGTCTCTTCTCAAGTGAAAGCGAGCTGTCAGGGTCCCAGTTGGGCAGGAGACCAGTCACCGCCTTCCCAACTCCACAGTCCCCTTCAAAGAACCAGTCACTCTGCTCATCATCACCTGCACACATGGGACAGCTGTTGAACGCCCAAAGCTAAAAAGTGGAAGTTTGAACTCAATGGGTGAGTTAGAAGCTGCAAAACGTGCATGATGCTGCATAAGTTGTTTAATCAACAATGTTCCCAGCTTTTTAAGTCTGCTTCTTGCACCAGATAACACCAGTTTAGTCCCCCAGAGGCAGTGAGCTCCTCTCAGACCTGTCACTCAGCAAAGTGCTCACAGGAACCGTGCCTCTCACAGTCAAGGTGTAGTGACAACTGTTAAATCAGAGGCCGCCTGGCCCCACCACAGCTAATGAGATTAGCAAAGGCTTCGGCGCTCATTAACACGACATGACAACGTCTTATTAGAGTCGCCTGGGTGCCCAGGAACTGGCCCATTGTAGCAAAACCTCCCTCTGCAGGTCCTGCATTCCCTCAGACTTTTGACAATTTCTGGACATCTGCAAAAAACTGAAACTCCAATCAACTTTTTACTGTTTTATTTTTTATATATACCTTGCCTTCCTTCATCATTGGTGAACAGACCAGGGTCACTGCTGCAGGTGCTGCTGCTTTCCCTACAAAGAAAAGAAAAACATTTCCTAATGACCAGTTTCTTTATCATCAGTGACATATCAGGTTGGAGAACTCGGCTTCGATTCGTCATCTCAAGCTTGATGTTGAGGTCAGACAATGTTACAGCATCTGAGAGGTGAACAATGTAAATCAAAACATTTACATGCCCCCGGTTTAAAACGAAACATTTGATGGTAAAAGTAATGGCTTGGAGCTGGAGGTCGACATAAATGGAAACGACAGAAAAAGACGGAGCGCGGTGTGTTCTCCCTCGCCGCGATGGCAAACACAAAGGCATCAGGAGGGGCTCTGATCGAAGCCACTGAGTGACATGAACAATCTAATTGAATATCCTCCGCTGTCAGCTCCAATCTAATCTGGCCTGCGTTGTGGAAGATGACAGCAGAGAGGAGCGCGGTCCCATGTCTGCTCCTCCCTCTGGGTCCCTCTCGCAGACGTGCCGCCGCTTCCTCACAACAACTGGCTGACATCTGCTGTGTGGGCTGCCACCGCTCACCGTCCTAACCGCTGCCGGTCCCCTCCACACCCTCAGGCGAACCCCGGTTCACTCCCTCCTCGCCCTCTGTAGACCCTCACTGAGGGTTTCTCACCTCAGCTACCTCTAAGAAGTTCATGGTAAACAAAAATAGATTTTAACATATTTTTTAAAAATACTTTAACTCACTGTGAAAGTACATCACACTGCAAGATTTTAGGGATTTCTAAACTTTTTTTCTTCATATGACTGTAAGAACTCGTCGGTGTTGCAGTTTGCTTCCTGTTTATCATCTCTGACCTTGCTGGTAGGAGAAAGCTGGAGGGTCAGATATGCGCTGATACGGAGCTTTGCCATATTGCCGAGGAATGACGCCAGGATCAAGAAAACCTCTATCCAGGCCGCATGTCTAACCTACAACCAGATGGTCCCGAATCAACTCCCCGAACATCCGCAAGAAGCAGATGTGAGAGAGGAGCAGGACTCTCCGGGGAATCTCGAAGATGTCTGGCCATGGACCGTCCCCTCCACCCCCATCCCACCTCTTCAACTCTGTCTCTCCTGACTGATTCCTCAGCAGCAACACACCTCTGGACACATCTGCTGGCATCTGGACACGCACCGCACTTTAGCATCAGCAAAGCTGCAATTTCCACCTCCAACCTGGAGGTGGGAAACAATCATCTGCAAGCTTTCCTCTTGATTTTTAAATGAAATCTTGTTTTCAGTTTATTAAAGCGACAAAGTCTGAAAGAGAATCGCTTGTATTAAGAATTAATTAGACATTCATTAAGTATTTATCTGTATTAAAGGTGTAATGTGATTTTGCTTGGAGCAGATAGGGCCAACGTGAGGCTGTTTCCATTAAATGCTGCCTAATTAATGCTGTGCACAGCTGACGTGCCCATTCTTCATGAGATGAAACGCTTCTTTCTTGAGCTGTGACCTTTGCCAAGGAAAGTTGATACATTTGGAGCAACTTCGCCTTTAACTTACTGTATGCAAGAACAAAACCTCACAAATAATCCAGTCAAAAAAGGGATTTTCTACTAGGGATTAGACACTATAATTAGAATAAATAGTGCACTGTATGTCCAAGTGAAACAAAAGCAAGGGCAAAACTTCAGTGGTTAGGGATGAACTGAACTCCCCTCATGGCCTTATTGTCTCTACACAAGCCAAGGAGGTGAAGCAAAACAGTATCCAAATGAGCACTAATCATTAGGAAATAATCCTTAGCTCCTGGGAGAGGCAGAGCAGTTTGCACAGAGATTACAGGCGAGCCGCCATGTATTGAGCCTTGGCTCATTTTGCAGAAGACTAAAGAAGAGGAGAATTGGAGGGATGGGGGCAAAGTGCTGATAGCAGTGGATCTGTGGGCTCTTCAAACAAGCCACCCCAACCCAAATCTATGCCCTCTTTTATTGGCGACTGATTATAAGGTTATCCCACCCTCCCTGAGCTGCGGTAATTGGATTAGTCTCAGAGATTTATGAAAATTACCTCCTCGAAAACTCCTCGTAGAGTTCTCGAAATCCAAAGTGCAGCACAGCGGCGCTGAGAGTGGCTTTTGTTTTGTCCGAGAGCATCAACAGAAGCGGCGCGCAGCTGGAGACGGAGGCTGAGCCCCGGAAAGCGACGACCCCACAGGTTAGGCCTGCTTGCTGGGCCAGCCTGAGTGCCAGGTGGCCTCGCTGCCAGCAGGCAGGGCTGGGTCTAATCAAGGATGTGGAGCCCAAATGGAGGTTCCAACATCTGCTCTCCTTGCGCCCGGGTGGCTGAAGGCAAAGCGCAGAAGGGGAGTGACCTTGAGGAGAGGCACATTTTAACAGTTTAAATACTCCATTTTAAAAGAATCAAAATCCAAGTGTCAAAAAGACATTCCAACGATGACATCTGTGTCTGACATGAAATAAACCACGCCGTCTAGAAGTCTAAATGTTGCTGTTGTAACGCTGTCAACTCCTCATCACTCCTGCCGTTTGTTAATATACTTTGCCTCCACCAAGACTTAACCGTTAGCTTGTTCAGCCTTCAGTACAGAGTGGCAGTCTACTGAGCAGCAATCAGGAGCGTTGAGGTTGTGTAAGTGAGAAATGATTGACAGCGTTCCGAGGTGCTCCCATTTATTTCTTCTCCAGAGCTGTTTTCTGTCAGAGCGGCTATTGATTTTTCCATAAAGTAAGAAAACAAATACCGTTTAGGGGCTAGAGAGGTCATCGCAAATTAAACTAGAAGATGTAAAGCCTTCTTCTCTTCTATTACAGGTCACTCCTAATATATCGCACATGCTTTACATGATCAAATTATAATGAGGTCAGTAAACAAAACTTTGTGTCATAATTCCAATACTGTACATGTATTATAAAAAACAAAAGCTTTCCAGGTTTTATTTAGAATGGGTTTCACAAAACCAGAGCATTTAGCTGTAAATAAAATAGTTTTGTGTCATCGCTGAACTTTCTTTTCCACCTGACAAGATCAGATAAAACAGCTGTAAATGTAACATTTTACAGGAGGGGGAATTTACACTTTTTTGTCAGGTGTTGCAGTGTGAAAAGTTTTGAAGAGTTGGAAGAAAATCCCAACGCTAAAAACCAGACGCGTCTGTCTGATGCACGTGACCTTTTATCTGTCAGATAAAGAGTCATGCTGCTCGGATCAATAGGTGTGGGAGTAACTTTGGAAATTAATTGTCAATCAGTCTTATTATTGGATCAACCAGAGATTTAAATTAAAATTGTGCCATGAAAAAAGTTTTTTATCAACTCTAGGCAGTAAAGTAAGAAAGTGGACAGTGGACCATCCTAGTGGTTATGAGTGAACGATGCAAAACCATCATCTGTGATGGCCAGTGGTACGTCTTCAGGACCAGCAAGGCCTTCACTGCTGGCCTCAACACCATCAGAATCACTAACTTATCTTTTAATATATCTTTTTCTATTAATTAATATTTATTATATTATATGTAATATGTATTGTTATTCCAGTTTATTATGTAAAGCGGTGGCGCAGGAGTTAGAGAAGGCGAGCCTGTGATCAGAAGGTCGCGGTTCAAATCCCGCTGACAGTAACATCAAAATACGGGTGAGAAAGGTGAAGCGCCCACACCGGCCTCCACCCTCATTTGCCCCACTCTGAGCCCTTGAGCAAGGCACTTAACACAGTTAACAGTAAAAGAAAACAGTGAATTGTGTTTCTTGCTTTAGTAATGTCATTCTTGCCTGTCTGTGATTATAGCGTGTTTCTGAATATTATTGATGCTTTTGATATCTGTCCTAATGATGATAATAAGAGGTGGATGCATTCAGGTAAGACACCACTAAAGGCCTAGTAACAGACGAGGCTCACCACTGGTGATGGTGGCATGGGTGACTTGTCTTTGCAGGAAGTCATACACTGGAATACAGGACAATATTTTTCCTTGGATATCTGTGAGGGGTTGTATTCAGTGTTTTATTTAATTATTTTTATAGCCTACCATTTCAACCAGCATGTCTCTACAGACAGTAAACAGGAAATTATACTGCCCCACCACCTTGTATACAGCTGTTCTTTTAGCTACTACTTTCTGCAGGGGTCACCACAACAAACGATTGCACATGAAAGACTTAATTGTTTTATGAGCCTTCCTGACCCAACCTGGGCTCGAACCTGCAGCCTCAGAATAATGAGACTGCGGCACTGTCCGCTGAGCTACTGCGGTGATCTGTTTTTATTCAGAGTATGTTTTAGGGATGACAGTCAGCTACTAGTACGCCAATCTTTACCTTCATATTTATAAAACCAACTGAGCTACAGTCTTTAGGTTGTAGACGTACCTTCAGTGATTACTTTCAGAGCGTTTCTTTAAAATCTGCACAGATATCTTGCTAAAACACAGACAGGCTGATGATCACCTGCTTTTTAAAGTGGCATGCAACAATTAAAGTTTAGATGTAATTAAAAATATTTGTGTCAAACTATATTTTACATACATCTCTCAATTTTATTTCTACTTTGTGCATATTTTATATACAGTAAGTTGAAGTTTGGTAGCTTCAACACTGACAGATGACTTCCTTTTTTCTGTTTGTTAAATAAAAGTTCAAACTGTTTCATTCGACAAGACTCCGGTAGGATTTTCTTTGTAATTTACATGTAAAACATTAAAACCATGCAGCAGTTTGTTCTAATGAAGTTTTATCAAGTGCTTTAGTTTTCCATTACCTTACAGACTGTTTATTGTATCGATTGTTTCACTGTAATAATATATTGTCCCTCTCTGTTGTAAGTTAAATCCACATTTAGGTTTGCCAAATGAAATTCGCACAGGAGGTGCAGCCTGGGACCGTGGGAGAGGCCGAGCTTTAATTACCCAGCCAAAGACAGGCATATATTTCAAAACAAATCAATACCTCGCCAAGTCACTTATTTATTTGTGACAATAGTTCTCAAAAGGAAATAATGAGCTCTCAGATGCCTGCAGGCAGAGCTATCAAGGATTCTCTCCCTGATGATCTTTTCAGATATAAAGAGATGAGAATCAAGAGCCTGTCATTAATTTTTAATGTCAAATCAACACTTTAAAATGGACAGGCATGACTTTTTGGGTCTAAAGGATATGCTGATAATTGACAAGTGGCTTGAAGATAGACAGAAACGATTACTTTAAAAGTTAAAAGTTGCCTAACTGCTTTTAAGGGCAACAAAGACTTTTGGATTGTAGAGCAACTTTAATCTGACTGAAAGGATTAGCATTTGGCTGTTGCACAAATGTAAATTAATTTAAGGGTTTTGTAAAGTAAAACTGCTGATTTTTTTTTTTCCACAATAAATGTATGTACCGTACGTGCTGCCGTACACGACGCAACGCCGTATAAGTCGCATCTATTATGCGTCACCGCTGACGCGTTGCGTTTGTTTTGCGTCACCACTGACAGCCCGGAAACGTGGGACGGTGTTGTGCCAAAAAACGATTGGATGCCAAATGGCAGCCGCTGGAGCGTGAACGGGAGTAGTTTAATAAAAATTTTTACAAGATTAACACTTAAAAACAGTTATTTGTTTGCTTGACATTATAGTAAAGGTGTGTCTCAGTTGAACTTTTCCTTAATAAGTGCACTTTAACGGTCAAATCAGCTGCATTTCATCTGGGCGGTGCGGCAAAATGAAGCTGATTTGACGTTTTCTCCAGGAGTTCTGGAGTGAGACGAAGGTGGCTTGGTATGGCAAGCCAAGTTTCTCATTAAGACACTTTTACCTATTAATGAGACACTTGGCTTGCCATATTAGTCGAGCGCCCTCTAGTGGTCGAAAATGGTAGTGTCCAATATTTTTCATGTCAGAATGAATGAAATCATCAGATCTCAGTCAAAAATTTGCATATAAATACGGGGGAAAAAACAAATACGTCGCTTCTCTGTATAAGTCGCAGTGTATGTTAATCTATGCAAAAAGCCGCAACTTATACAGCGAAAATTACGGTAAACATACTGAATGTTTGCACAAACTTCAGCCAGTAGTTTGTTTTAAAAATGATGAAAGAGTTGGGCTTAATTTTGTCAAATATTACCCATCAGACATGTTTTCATCTGGACCATCTCTGTGTTCTTCTGCCATCTTCCTCTTCCAGCGCTCCTTTCCCATCAGTCTGCCTCTGTCGGACTCTGCTCCCATCCAGCCGCTCAAACATGGCACCGGAGAAAAACGAGGCCTTTTTTTGCCATTTTCCCTCACGTGCAGATTTGGCTGAAACCTGACCTTCACATCTGAGGTCATCCGCTTGAGCTTCCTGCGCCTCCTGAGCGGTCGTCCTGGATTATTGTCAGTGAAGGAGTCAGACTCTAGCCAGGAGGGTTGCCTTGAACTGACCGGGCTTCTAACAACACAAGACCAGCGGTCAGTTGTGTCATCAGAGTCGCTGTTGTTGGCCAAAGATGTTTTGAGAGTGGAGGGCAAGTTCTTTCTGTATTCTTTAGCCTCATCCATGCTGGACTCTGAGGCCTCCACCCAGCATCGTCTGCGAGCCATGGGATAGAGCGAGGACTCGTGGAAGCGCTTGCGGCCTCTGCGCCTTCGGATCTGCCGTCGTTGCTGCAGAGGACTTGGGATCATCCCCCCCCACAGCTCCTCGAGCTTACTCTGCTCTGAGGCCTGCTCCAATGCAGAGACCAGGTCCTGCACCAGCTCGTCCATCATGGTGCTGGAAACCATAAGAAAACGACTTTTACTCCATCAGTAGTATAAATCTAGTAGTTTTACATTTAATACAGAATGTTTAATCACTGCTGATATGGCTCTTCTCGTGAAAACTGGGTTTACAATAAAAAGACACAATATTCTTCTTTGTTTTTTCCTCAATAAATAAACAGCAACTTATTTATCGCTGGTTATCTGTTTTTCTCTAACATTTAATGGGAAAACAAACACATAAATCAATTTTTTCTACTATCAGAGCTCTTGAAATGCCATATACACCATCCAGTGCATTTTGTATTTCTGGTTTGATTAAATCAACAAGAACATTTTTGCACAGAACTTTACTCAAGAGCTGCAGCTTTACGACTGCTGATATGATTAATAGGCTTGATTTTTTTATGCATACTTGTTTCTATTTCACTAATCACCAAATTAAACTACAAAAAATGCATTATATTAAAGATTATAAATCATTGCGTTATGATAAACGGTAGCTCCCGTGTTTGCTCTTTAAGCATGGCATGGTCTGACCTCAGAATGAATTTGTTGGGGCTTTCCTGTTTAAGCTAGATGAGGCATGAAGAGTTTATTCAATACTGACACAGGTCAAATCAACAGAATCTGAAGTGGTATTTAGTGTTTTTCATATCATCTTATGATTCTCAATCATCTTAACCCATTGAAAACATGTGGACCAAGAGCAAAAACATGATAAAGTGTAAAGGATAAATGTCACTCCACGTGTTTGTCCACATTTGCACATGTGTAGCCTTTAGGAAAAAAAAATGTTAGTTCTCATTTCAGTTCAGCAGTGTTGAACTGCTGAAGCTCGCGCACACAGGAGGAGCTGTCTCCACTGATTTCAATTAGAGCAGAAAAACAGCGCGTGAGTTTCATCAGCAGCTATATTATTATTATTATTATTATTATTAAAATGGTTCGGTTGTTCTCACGAAGACAGCGGCTGCAGCATCACTGCAGCAGAACAAAAGCAGAGGCAGGAGGCTGGAGCTGCATCATGTTGCATAACAGCTCACATGTGCACGCTCAGCTCCGTCACCAGCAGCGAAACAAGCCGTTCAGGAGCGTTTAACCCCCTCACACGGACACATTTTGCGCGTGAACTATGTACTGTAAAGTATAGAATAACAGGCAGAGCCCACGGTGTCTGAGCACTCACCAGTCGCTGCTTGTCTTGTTTTGTTTTCTGCACGCAGCAGCTGGGACAACAGACGCGCCTTCCGCCCTGCAGAGCAGCCAATCAGGTGGCTCCGCCTCGCCGTGACGTCATTCCAAAACAGCCTGCCGAACTAGCTGATAAAGGAGACAGCATGCAACCTGCCAAGCAGCAGATAAAAAACATAACCTTGTTAATATATATATATATATATATATATATATATATA